GGTGGAATTCCACTATGTGCGCTCAGAACGAACCTGGAAGCTTTCATCCTATCACGCACATACTCACACTGGGACTTCTTGACTTATTTACGGACGTAATTGAGGTCACATGCATCCAGGTAAGGCCGGCAAATGCAGTCAGATACATTTCAAATAGAGCTAGTATGAGTGCGCGCTGAGGCAGTCTGGCCCATTGCTTAGGGCCACCGGCTGACAAACTTTGGATTTTTTGCTCTTTTTTTTTTTTTTTTTTGATAGAAGATGGCTCTTATCTATCGGTGGGGAGCTGCACCTGCTGGAAACAGGGTCCAGCGTCCCAATTACAAAGCAAAAGCCAATTTATGAGTCATCGTTACGAATGAGCAGCATTGATTGCCCTCATGTGAGGGGATTAACTGCCCATCAAAACCATAGGATCGGTGCACCACTGAGCCCAAGCCCCTAACCCACTGTGAACGAGGTTACATGGCGGAACCCAGGAACATCAGCAAGAGGGGAAAGTGATCGTACAGTAAAAGCACCCCCGTAAGGTCAAATCTTCACAGATCAGATTATACCATATGAAAACGAGTCAGGTCAAATCGACTCCTATCAGGGTTGATAAAGTCCAATCTAGCCAAATCCAAATCAAAATCAACTCAAGTCAAATCAATCCATTCACACGAAATCAAATCCGATCCAATCAAATCCGATCCTGACTGCTCGAATGTGCAACATTGATTGCCCTCCAGCTCGTCACGACCCAAGACCGGGCACACCCTGCCCCTTTCCCTAACCCACTGCCAGTTTTGCCTGTGATTAAGTGGTGGCCGTGCCCTTCACCGTTCAACCTAACAAAACCAAAGACACCGGGGTTCAAAGCCTCATTCCAGCCTCACCCGGGGCCTCAAGGCTTACAATCAAGACACTTTTTTTCTTTTTTCTTTTTTCTTTTTTGTTTCGAAAAACTTGGGACCTTTTCTCGATTTGTGTGCGTCATCCTTGTGCAGGGGCCATGCTAATCAATCTTCTCTGTATTGTTCAAATTTTAATGGATGTCTCAGAGGACATCGGGAGGCAATTCTTTTTCTATTCTTTTTTTTTTTCCCTCTGTTTTTCTCAGCCGAAACCGGGTAATGGCCCCCGCTTGAAACAGTCACAAAGGGACGCTGGACCCGTTTTCCAGCAGGTGCCGCTCCCCACCAATAGAATGGAGCCACTCTGCAGTGTACAACCGGGGGCTGCTGGTATCACCCAAGATTGCACACCAGAGTGACCAGACAGAGAGGTGCTTTCAAAAAGAAAAAGAAAAAGGAAAAAATCGAGAGGCAATTCTACTTTTCATTAAATGGGAAAAACAGTTCAAAAACTTCAACAACAGCTATACTTCAGACCCAGATGCCATCTGGGTCTTTTGACTCTTTTCCCTGGTGTAGCACTGCAAACACAAACAACTTTTGGTTGGGGTCACTTTGGGGTCACTTTGGAATCGAGTATTAAATGAAAGGTTAAGAATAGTCCAGAAGACTCCAGAACCAAATCTTATACAGTAATATTATACACCCTTTAGACCCCTTTCAACCCGCCCCATTTATAACCCCCTGCAGCCTACTCAACCCAAAGCACTGGAGAACAAAAAGGAGCCTGCGGGCAGGTGGATCTTGGTGTGTGCAAGAAATGCCCTGCCTGTGGTCCCAAAAAGGGAAAAAAAAAATAAAAAATTCAGGTCTTTTGAGTTATTGAGTGTGAACCGAACGGATGCCTGCCACATGCCACAGCATCTTGCCTGGATGCCTGGCTGCACATCTGAGGTAACATAGCTTATCAATCACTACCGTCTTCACCCGAACATAACCCCTGGTCATAATAGCCGTATTTGGGGCGCAAGACTAGCAATAATGTCTTGCAGTTCTTTATAACGCTGCAAAGTTTCTTTTACTCCTTGAGCAGTTTCATAATGTTCTTCTCCTACGATCCATGGCTGAAGCATAGTAGATGTTGAATCAAGTGGATCTACTGCTGGATATATTCCCTTTGCAGCAAGATACCGAGAAAGAACAGCGGTAGCATCTAAATGAGCAAAGGTAGTAGCAGGAGATGGATCAGTTCAAATTTCTGTCCAGATGCAGTGATAATGACCGGGCGTTTTATTTGGGCGAAGACGGTAGTCGGAATTTGTACACATCCTTGGGCTCACGACCGTCTGGAAGTGGTTTCCAATTTGTACCAGGATGAGTGGCTACTAGCTGCCCTTGGGTTATGTTATAAATGGCATAACAAATTGTCTGAAAATTTAGCCCTCCATTAACCTGCTCTCCCGTCTTCCAAGCACCCTCATTATCACTGCATATAACCGGAAAGATGGCTTGTATACATTCAGAATCAGAGTGCATTATGTTCGGGGGCGGACGATCGCTAACATTACCTGTGTGACAGCTTCAGCGAGCCCAGCGATGCCTGATGATCCTTCTTCTCGCACCAGAACATGTACGCATGACGTACAAGCTCATTCAGTAGTCGTTTGCCAATGGATGTGTCACGATCTGCGCAGCTCAGAACTGATGACAGAAAACTATGATCCAACTGTTGCTCTGCTTGAATTCCATCTGTCACCAGCAAACCACAATTTCATCATCCAAAAATCAGAAATCCCCCCCGTTTTTTTTTTTTTTTTTTTTTTTTGGAAATGGAACCAGAGGCTAGTACTAGGGGGGGTGATATGAGCATGCTGCCGCAGTAGGTGTTCTGGTTGCTCCAATCCTATATTGGTGGGGAGCGGCACCTGCTGGAAAATGGGTCCAGCGTCCCTTTTACAAAATGTAGTCTTAAACCACCAGTATCTTTCCCATACACCGACCGCAGTGGACACTGACTGCCCCCGTCAGAGGAAAACATTGCAAAATAAAAAATACTTTCCTCGGCCGTATGGCTAAGATCAGAGTAGTATCTGGTCTGATCAGTTTAATATTGGATCTGTGCTCCATCCGGGAAAAAAAAGGACGTTGCAAACATCAGCAAGTGAACCCCCAACCCTTCGAGGGAACAAAGCTGGGAGAAAAGATGGAAAGAAAACAAATATCACTGGAAAATGGAGAATAGAGAAAACACCAAGCACAAATCGATGCTTCTGACCTATATCTGAAACAGCTGGCAGCAGCAGAAAAAACACATACAAAATCAGGGTTAGTCAGCGGGTGCTCGGGTGATTGGACCTGGCCCGGATTTCTCCTGGGCAGCCCGGCTGGTCCACTTTCCCGGGCAGCTCCTGGACAGCCCAGCGCAATTTTGAAAAGGGAGGGGTCCTGACTCCCGAGTTCCAGAAACGGTTGGGGCGGCCTCCAGTCCTGTATGGGCTGCGCCACCAGCGAGGAAAAGAAGTTCGGGCCTACTGGGCCCTTTCTTCTTATCTTTTTCATCTGGGCTGCCAATCTGACCAGATTGGTGGGGCCTGGATCTGCCTCCACCAGAGGGAGTCCTTTGCCGGGCATGTGGGGCATTCGTATTCGAACGCCAAACCAGCCTGCCAAAGTGTTTGCCTGCCCCTGCCTTGATGGCTCCCTGTTCGTTGCACACTGCCCTGGCACACACACACACCTGTCTCTTATACACATCTAGATGTGTATAAGAGACAGCTACTGGAGAGTTAAGGAGCAAGTAGGTTGGTTTGTGGTCGAGCCCCTTGAAGGCTGTTGCTGGTAGGATACCAGCCTCCTTGATTGCCCCTTGTAGCATATTGNTTTTTTTTTTTTTTTTTTTTTTTTTTTCCCTATCCCTTCCATATCTGCTCTTCTGGGTGAGAGAATTCGTAAAAAACAATGTAATTCGAAGTTCCCATATCACGAAACAAATTACATTGTCGCCCGGCGTTCCATACGCCCAGACAGTCCTTCCCGAGTTTCGCTCAGACTGCTGCCGAGTACTCCCTCGGCCTTCCTATAAGTATTAAAGAAGTAAAAGGAGTTGTCGCACGAGCTTACTAGCACCATGAAGAAACGTTTGCAAAAAAAAACTTTTCCCGCCTATTTCAGACCTGCATAGGCCCAAAACTTTTGAAAAATTTAAATAAATTGTTCTACCTCTTAATCTGTAGTAGATATTGTACGGTGAGAGTTTCACCGCGTGAAAAAACTCCCAAGGTCCGTTCAGATAGCCGCACGAGTTCCGTCGTTTAGTGCCAGGTACACGTCCCCGGTTTCGACATTTAGTGCCAGATGTATGTCACCAGCGTCGACACTTCGAAGAATCGGGTCTTCAGGCTGATTCGAATCCCACTTCCTGTGTTCGGCGTTTCGATCTTCTGCCTGGACGATAGCCGCAACGGTCTCAGGTTCGCACAGCGCTACCCTTCACCGTCTTCCTGTACTGCACTCCGTACAGTAGTCCAAGGTGTGTAGCCATCTCATCCCAGACCCTCCCTCCCACCCTTTTTGCAACTTTCCTTGCTGCTTCCACAAACATATAACTAGAGAAGCCTTGCGCGCAAAGCTCCCTGTGAAAAGTAATCATGCTCATTACCAACATCGCAGGTTCTGATGTGTTTGCGTTCAATCGGTGCATAGTTCCAATGACAAATGCCATCTTTTGTTCTATTGAGCCATATGATTCAAACCTTTTTGTTGTGAATATTTTACTTTCTTCTTTGCTCCAAATGCTTTCAAAGTTCTTAACTTTGTGCGCACATAGTATCCTGCTAGGATCATTCGTCACTATGATTCTTGTTTACAAGAAATCCGCAATATTATTTCCGTCATCGGTTCGTTGTAACCTCAACTTCTCGTGGTAACAGTTCAAGATTTTCTTTAGTCTTACCTCTGCTTGCCTCTTATCTTTCTTCTCATACCATGTAATTAACAGCAGATCATCAATAAATCTTTTTCCGCTTATCAGTTTTCTTTCGTTTCCCAAGCTTTTGACAAATCTGTTTTCTGCGAACATACATACCAAGCATGCCAATACTGGGCTCGCGTGCCCTCCCATTGGAATACCGGTGTGTTGTCTCAGAACTTCATTCAGTGATCGAAAGAAAACATGTTTCAGCAAAAAATCCACCATCCTTTCCAAGACTGATAGTCTAACCGACCTCCATGCCCCCTCACTAGCAGCTTTATTGAATTTTGCTCCTTTTCCTCTGATCTTAATCTGTATCCAATACTTACCTTTTCCCCGAAATTCCCCCATGATCCAATTAACAGCCCTCTTAATTTCCTCGTGTGGGATCATAGTAAACATCTCCTTAAACCACCAGTACTTGGGCGACGCCTTAGCGTTAACGCTACGCGATTTCCGCAGCCGGCGGGCCGTCGATAAATCGAATCGACAGCCCGCGCTGCTTCGAGATTTGGGCGGCCGGCGCGGCGCGCAGTGCCCAAGTACTGGTGGTTTAATATCAAATGTTTGGATGACAATTTCTGCTTCATCACCGATTTTGCCCACTTTACTATTTACTCTTTCCAGTTCTGACTTCAGATCCCTGGTGGCTGCCATATTGAAATGCTCTTGTTTTGTTTTTTGGACCATGAGGTTCAATGGTTTTGTAAGCATTTTAGTTGCCGATCGTATTGGACTTTGGTAGGATGGGCAGATTGGTCTCTTCTTATTTAGATCTTTGTTTTTACTCATCATCATAAAAGAGTGTCGGATTTTCCCGTCTTGATTCCAATCCGCAATCTTGTGCAATTTTTGTTTCTTGAACTCCTTCTTCATTTCCCTGACGACTTCAGTTTCCTCCTCCTGCAATTTTTGGTAATTTCCATTTTCATTAAATGTCGCCTTCATTCCCTGATTGTAGTGCCACGGACATTCGACCAATGTTCCACCTGGATTTCTATCCAACGGGGAGAAAACCAGACCACCGAAAGCAATTTTTTATTCCCTGGACATATTCAACCAACACTTTCCCTCTACTAGCCGCTGGTTTTTCTTTTTCCTTAATCTTTCCCGGGTTTATCCTGATGCTATCCTCTACCCCAATTAGTCCAGCTTTTCGCAATGGCAGCATGGCATTGTTGCATGATGATTCGATATCTTTCAATCCACACATTCTTCCTGGAACTGGCACATTTTTCTTGAGCTGTACGAAAACAGATGAATCCCTGGGATCTCGTTCAGTCTATAACCCGGACGTGCCCATTTTCCTTGGGCAAGTCAGAATTTTTCACAAGCACAGGCGTTCTCACTCTTTGCCATGCGCTTGTGATTATGCAGGAGACATCCGACAGATCTGGCCTTTGTCCAGACCACTCGAAGTCTGTTCTGCAACAGGTGACTGAGTTCCCCCAGTGTTATCCGTTTTTCCACCCATTCACATACTTCGTTTCTCACTTCCTTTTTGTTTTTTATGTTCTCGTTAAAGAGAGTTTTTATTGCCAGGCGCAATCGTGGGTTTATACCCACTTTCTTCTTCAATTCCCTCGATAGAACTCCTCGGAGTATTTGCCTGCCATTTTTGTTATTTATACTTCGCAGATTAGCAAGCTCATACATTTTTTTTGGGTGACATTTTTTTTTTAAGGCCGGAATCCCAGACAAGCTCATACAGGGGAGAGGGGTGCAGCCAGGTGCGTGGCTGACTTTTGCACCATGCATGTTTCTGGCAGTTGTCACTCCGCAGCGCTTGGACGTTTTGGAGGATCGCCTGCCGATGGGGATAGCGTTTGTGTGAACCGATGCGCTTGGATGTTGTGGAGGATCGCCAGCGATACATAGGTAGGTCCAAGAATGCTTGACGTGCATTTTTTTTGGTTGAGGAGAGGGGTGCGCAAAACCTCAGACAAAGTTTTCGATGTATCGATGGTGATCTTCCAAAACATACAAGCGCATCGGTTCACACAAACGCTATCCCCATCCGCAGGCACACAGCAGGGAGGCATTCTGCAGTGTGATGACTGCCAGAAACATGCATGGTGCAAAAGTTGGCCACACACCTGCACCCCACCGGACATCTTCTTGTTCGTTCGATGGACCGACACCCACAGGCCACAGGGCATCTTCTGTGTGTGGTGTGATTCTGGAATCCCAGACAAGCTCATACAGGGGAGAGGGGTGCAGCCAGGTGCAAAAGTTGGCCACACACCTGCACCCCACCGGACATCTTCT